AAATCAGTATGAAGTCATTTGGCGATAAAAGATGCTATGAAACAAATACAAGAAAAGGAGATAACATTAGCTTGGGGGCTCATAAAAAATGGTAGGCAAGGAAGAACTCTCTGATAAACTGTCATTTAAACATAGACCTACTAAAAGCAAAAATGTGCTGTGTCCTGGTGGAAGAAAGAGTGGGTACAAAGTCCTTGAAGGCATGGTGGCCTCCACGGGAGGTTGGTGTTACCATATTGTTGAAAGCAGAGAAATGCTGTGTCAGGGAATAGCAGGGATGGCCTGTGGTGCACCTTAAAGCTGAATTCAAGGACTTTGGTTTTTTATCCAAATAAGATGGGGAGTAGGTTTTTGTGAGTCGTATTACTTGAACTGAAGTACATACTTAAATGATCACTTTATTGTGTTTCGAATGTACTTTCAAATAAGCAAAGAAGCTGCACAAAGAAAAGGGAATTGTAATGATAAAAACAAGAGATGATATGGCTTTAACAAGAATCAGGGGAAGATTCTGGATAATGTTTATGGTATGATGTGATTTAATTTAACAAATCTGAGCTCAAATTACCAATGTGGTGGACTATGCTGGTACATAAGAATAAATGTTTACCCTCAAGGTACTTCCTAGCTGGTGGTATAGATACATAAATACCTCGTTATGAAACAAGAAAGAGAGAAGTGAAACTAATGAAAAATGTAAAATTATTTTGTGGAATCACTTGGACACTTTAATAAGTATGTAACTACTAAGTTGGACCTTGCAGAGTGCAATGGATTTTCATGGGCTCAGAATAAAAGTTAGATAATTCCACTCTGAGAAAATAGTAGTAAAAACAATGTCTTACATGGGGCCAATCCAATATTAGTCCATTTCCTTTTTCTTTAGCCCTATCTAGAAGGGGTAATATAAGTCTTCCCCATGCATATATAATCACTCAGAGATTTAGGCAGCATTTATACACAGATCTCAGGGCTTCTTCTTTCAGGATCTCCCTCACTTTCTAGTGCCACTAAGTGATAAACAAGATTCTAATATGGCTCCTAAGATTTTGATCCCCTGGTGTACATACATGAATAGTCCCTTAACCCTGAGGGTGAGCAGAGTCAGTGAAAATAATGTGATATTATTCCATGATTTTGTCTCATCATATGCCAAAGAAAGATGGCCCTGTGTGGAACTGACCTAATCAAATATTCCCTTTAAATGCAGAAAATATTTCCCAGGTGGTCACTGAGAAAGCAGTCAGAGAAACATGCCCTTGCTGGTCAGAAATAAAAGCAAACAGCCATATTGTGAACTGCATATAGAGATCATGTGGCAATCAAGTGTGGTCATCTTCTGAAAGCTGAGGGTCATTCTTGAGCAATATTTGGCAAGTAAACAGGGAGATGAGTCATACAACCACAAGGAAATGAGATCTGCCAACAGCCAATGATCTTGGCAAAGACCCCTGAACCTCAAATGAAACTCACCCCATGCCAGCTGGGACCTTGATTTCACTGTGATGAGACTCTGAGCAAAGGACCCAGCTAATCAGTACTGGACTTCTGGCCCAGAGAAACTGTCAGATAAAAGATGAAAATTGTTAAAAACACTAAGTTTGAGGTAATATGTTATAAAACAATAGGTATTACATTCTTGTTGGCCTGAATTCTGACCTCTGGTTCTTCAAGCAAATGAACTATCAAAATTTTAAGCTTTTCTTAAAATGCAGATAGTGACTGTTCTAACTAAATGCTATAAAAAAAAAAAAGGAGAGAAACACTCCATGTCCTTCTTTCCTTCTAAATAATGCCCCTCCCAAATCTGCCTGATTTTATTCATTCTGCAGTGCTTTCAGGTAGCTGTCTTCCACATTTGTTATCTATGAAAGCCTTGCTCTAAAATAAGCTACTTGACCATTGAGAGTCTGGATACATTTTGAAGGTAGGATTAAGTGATTTGCTTGTGTGTGTTAGTTTTTTTGTCACTGTAACCAAAATACCTAATATGAACAACTGAGAAGAGAAAGATTTATTTTGGCTCAAAGTTTCATAGTATGTAGTGCATGGTCATCTGACTCCAAGGCAGAAACTTCATGGCAGAAGTGCTTGGCAAAGGCAGTTGCTTGGCTCATGGCCACTGGGGATCAAAGAACAAAAAGAGAGGCTAGGGAGAAGATAACCCCTTTCCGGGGCATGTCATGTTGATCTTCTTCCTCCAGCTAGGCCCAACCTTCAGTGGTCCATTCAGAGATCTATGGGTAGATCCATCAAATAGATTAATCCTCTGATGAGGGTAGAGCTTTCATGAGCCAATTATTGCCTGAAAGTCTACTTCTGAACCCTGTTGCATTGGGGACCATGTTTTTAATTCATGATTTTTGTGGGGGATATTTCAAATCAAAACCATAGCGCGATATGTTGGATAAAAGCATGACCGAGAAAGAAGTCAAAGATTATTCTTTGGTTTTTGGCCTCTGAAAGTAGAGGATGAAATTACTGTTTGTGGACATAAGAAAGGATTATAAATGCATTCTGTTGCATGTGTGAGTTTAGAGTTCAGGAGAGAGTAGTGGTCTCGGGATAGAAATCTGGGAGTTGCTTTTTGAAGGCCTGAAGTGGAATTACCACCTCAACAAATTACCTCTAAGTATAGGAGTGAAGAGACTCCAACCCTGAGTCCTGGGATGATTCAAAATTTAAAGATAAGGAGGAAAGATGGAACCAAAAGAGAAGACTAAGGAAGATAAGAGAGAAACAATGAGAAAATGACCTCAAATTCAACTGGAAAAAAAAAAAACTGTTTTGGGGACGAAGGAATGACTTTTTATTTAATGCTATGCCAAATGAGCATTGAAACTTAGTATTGAATTTAGCAATGGAGAGAAAGGTCTTTGTACCCTTGACAAGAGCAATTTCAGCACTGTTGCAGGAGAAAGTTTGATTAGGGTAGAGGCAAAATGGGAGGAGTCAAATTAGAATCAGCAAGTTTAATAGCTCTTTAGAGCACTTTTGGAATAAAGATGAACAGCAAAGTTGAGCAGTATCTTGAAGAAGAGTCCACAGGAATTTTATTTTGTTGTTTGTTTTTAAAATGGAAGAATATATATTCTGTGTGCTGGAAGGGATAAATCAGTAGAGACCATGTAAAAATGCAAAAAATAAAAAATAAATAAAAGGGAAAATTACTGCTGGAGCACACAAGCGAAGGAACTGGCCTCAGATGGAAGCAAAATTCATCAACAGAAGTTAAGGCAGATTATGTATGTTTAGGCATAGGTGGATAGGTAGACAGCCTAGTGGGAGCTGGAGGTTTAAGAGAGATGAGAAGGTACAAAATAGTCATCCAGAGCATGGGAGGGTGAGTGTGCTAGGCATAGGTCTTAAGCAATGGGCAGTACACAAGGTCTTGGGGTGACAGCGTCAGTATTTTCAAGCAAGACTGGTAAGATGGATTTAATCAAGCGTGGACTTTTTCCAGTATTGTACAAAATGCAAAATAGGGCCAGGAAGTTGAGGTTTGTTGAAGGGAGTGATAATGGGAAGTTATTGCAATGAAATGTGAAGTAGGTAAGGAGGGAGTAAGAAATTGAGAGGACAGTAAAAAATTGATGAGATGAGCAAAAAATTATAACAAAGGAAATGGTGGATTAAATAGATAGTATAATATCTGCTTTGGGGCATATTTGAAAATGTTCACTATAAAATGTTTTTGATCTTTTGTTTGCTTTTTAAGTGGTAAAGGGCTTGGAAATATCAGTGTGGCTCAAGATCCTTGGATGAAGAACAGAGAGGGATCTACAGGGCTTGGTAGTGACAGGGACTAGGGTATGACCCCAGAGCTGAGTGGCCACATGAAAGGAAAAGACAAGCCCACGGGAGAAGAGGAGGTAAAGGAACCTGGAGGTCCAGCTGTTGCAGGAATTATCTTCATGGATAATAAAAGGACAATAACCTTAGAGAGCATAACAGGAAACCAGTGGTTGAAAACTTTGGAGCTGGAGGGAGGGGAAGTCAGTGGAATAGGCCAACAATCTGATGTGTTTAGAGGAGAAACAGTTTGGAAATAGCAGGGACAGCAAGGAAGACACAGCCTTTTGCTCACCCAGTGCCATCCCCACCTACCCAGAGGTACTGGAGTGTGCTGGAGAAAACAGCTTCTACTTAAGAGGGCTCTGGGGGAAGTAGTGTCCTCAGGGGAGGGCTAGATATTAAGGGAGAAATTGTTCTACTAAGAATCTAAATTAGTTGGTTACTGTGCCTGAATGTTAAATTGGGCTCTCTACCTCCTGGCAGTGAAAATTTCATAAAGAGAGAAATGATAGGATATATAGTCCTTGGGATCTGACAAAAGGAGGCATATAATTCCCAGAATTTTTTCCTATAGATCCATAATCATTTTTATATCCCTTGTTACTAGAAGAAAGCTTGAAATGTAATCAGAATACAATAAATGCTTAACCAAACATTTGACACTGAGGTTTATAATGGACAATATCTTTAATGGCAGTTTTTAAAGATAAAAAATGTAACTTAAGCTGAAAAGTAGGAAATAGTAGTGAAGTTTCTATCTTGATCTTAGTTTTGAATCTGAGATGTCTTTTCAGTAGTGAAGCTAATTACAAAATTAGCTTTAGCAGTTTCTTTCCTATGACACATGTGCAATATATTATGAGGCATGGAGACAGTTAATAATTTTTAGATCCACTTTTATTCTTTCATTTTGAAGAAGAAAACCTGCCATTTAAAAACATGCAAAGCTAATTAAAGCTTTTCCACTATTTCATTATCTGAATGTAGTTGCAAATTCTGACTTAAAACTCTTATCAGAAGACTCAACATCCCTCCATGAACAGCAAATGAACATTCAATTAACACTTCAATACAAGTGTATTTTAAATAAAAATATACTTTATTGTTAATCTCATTCTTTACAAATGCAAATACCCAATTTTAAAATCCAAAGAGAGTCTCCCCCCTTTATTCTTCAGAGGAAAAAGTCTTTTCTCTATTTACAGGGAAGACCGGAGTTTTCTGAAGTTGTTACGAAGTTAGAGGAGTGTCTCTGCAACATTGAGGTAAGAACTTTGCCTTCTGAAATAAGTCCGCATAAAAGCCCTGATACCCAAGGCTGTGGTGAGAGGGCGCTTATGGAAAGTTACTCTGAGGCCCATAACTCCATTTATACTTAACCTATTCATTAAATCCCTAGGGTAGAACCAAATTGGCTGTATCTACAGGGGCAGAGACAAGTTCAGAGTGAATTTGGGTGGTTCCAAAAAAAAAAATCAGTCAGGTAAATTGTCATAGCCATGCTCAGCTTAAAAAAAAATGATACCTGAAAATTTGAAGGTATGACAAATTTGTTAGAAGGTAATTATTTAAATTGATTTTTTTCTACACAGAATTACTACATTGGTGAAATGTAAGCTAAGATGTTAAGTCATTGTCCATTTATGTTCAATAAGAAAGGGGGAAATTATCACAACAATAATGCATAAATTAATTGAAAAGCATTGTTTTTATACCACACATATGTTACATAAAGTGATATATGTTGATAATCAAGCTAATGGAATTTTCTTTCCTTAATATCAGGGAGCTATTTGCTTTAATTCTCTCTGTAATTGCCTTAATTTGCTATACACCTGGTCAGGAGATAGCATTTGAAAATAGGCAAAGGGGCTAAAACAGGAGCACTGGTTAAAAAATAATATATTCCCAAATGCACAGGAGTGGAGGAGGGGAAGGACATCACACATATAGGATCCGCATATGAAAAGAAGAGAAAAAAGGGGAGTGGAGAAAAGCAGCAACCTGAGATTGCTCAACTGAATATCAAAATGGAGCCATCCACAAAAAGTTTTGCTTCCAAAAAGAATCTCAGCTAAAATGCTTTGGAACCCAGTCTGTTGGAAAAGAATTTTAGGTCTGCAGATGCAGCCTGCAGTGGGTCATTCTCTCATGACTCCACAGAAACTTGTAAGGAGCAAGCTTTTTGTGTTAGAAGGAGGCTTTAGTCTTTAGACCTAAAACTTCATTTCCCTTCTCTTGGGTCTGAAATTTACAGGAAATGGGGAGAACAGTATACATTTAGTTATGCTTCAGTAGTCCCTGTGGGCAAGAGAATCTTCTAGAGGCCTTCAGTGTTAAGAGATGCCTTCAGGGCTTGACTTCCAAATATCCTCTCACTGTGAATCTATGTTTGACTAGACAAAGTTGCTCCTAGCCTACAGGATATATGTCCCACTAGAGGCAGTTGGGAATAACAGGGATCATGGTAGGATCTACTAAATTAGCTTATCTTGTTATATTGATCAAGCTTCTTAGTATATTCTTCCTACTAGGACAGAAGAGGAGGGGGCTGATAATGCACAAAAGAGTTTGCTGGATTGGGTTGCACTAATTAATAGACCAGAGTCAGGAAAAGGGATTTAACTACAAAAGTCTCATAGGGCTCCCTTCTCTCACTTTTCAACTTTTCAAGCAATAGCTTAGACCAAAGTCAAGAGGGAGAGACTCATCATTGGCAGATATAATAAAATTCAGAGTGGCAGAAAATATTTGAAAACAGGATTCTAGAATTTCTTAGAGGATGAAGTAACAGGATTTGTCTAACAGGAATAAATTTAGCAGGAATAATATTACACTCTGCTTAAGAGCTAAAGAAACAATAAAAGAATGAAATGCTAGGCACATGCTTAAGAAGCATCATGAATGAGAGTGGGTAATAAACTCATTGGCAGTTAAAATATGTTGTCTTGCTACAGAATAGAAGATTTGGTCACTCTTGTTCTGAAATGACCATACAAAATGGTACCTAGTTTGTCTCTGATCCTTTTAAAGGAATGAAAACTGGGACATATATTTTCATGGAGAGAGATCAGAATAGTGAATGGCTTGAAAATTGTGTAAGGTTAGAACCAACTGGAGGAACCAGGAGTGTTTATCACAGGGAAGAAAAAATTAGGATGAGTCCAACATCTGAAGAACTATCATGTAGCAAAGGCATTGGTCTGCTTCTGTTTGGTTCAACATTTGCCAGACACTAAAGCATCCTTCATCTATTAAATGGATGTGTTCTTGGGAAAGTGTGTGAATCCACTTTAAGTCAAGGTAATAATTTAATGCAAAGGGAATAACTTTAGGTACAATTTAAAGGAACTCTGTCATGAGTCTTATTGCCATATTGAATGATGTTGAGAATCTTGTTGTGATCATTGAATAATAAACATCTAAATATCTATTTTGTGAATCTGATTTGGGGCTATTGTATTTTGGGAAAGATGAAGATAGGTATAACAGGCCAGCTATCAACATAGAACTGGATCAAAAAGGCTAGTCAGCTGTTGCCACCAGAGACTAAAAGGAAACACCAAAAGCAAGCTAAGATGGTTAAGAGCATTCACCAATATGAAAAATCTGGGAACAGAAAATTAAAATAAATCTATAGTCCACTCTATTCCTTTATGCCCATTGGATTTATCAAATGATTCAAACTGCCTCTCCTTCACCCAGCTGATGTCTCCTGCATCCAGTAACAGCAGCGGGTCTCTCTCACCTTCCTCTTCTTCTGATTGCCTGGTGAGCCAGGCAGGGCCAGGCCGAAGCCATGTGGCAGCTTTGAGAAGTCGTTTTGAGTTGGAATATGCTCTAAATGCCAGGTCCTATCCTTCCTGGACACAAAGGTTAGTGGTAATCTAAACTACAGTCTAACCATCAAGTCAGATTTCAGAACCATATCAAGATAGTCTCATCAAAATTTGATTATTGTCAACAGGATTAAACACCCTTCTAGAAAACATTTAAAAAGGAGTTTTGAGCTCATTTTTCTTATAATATCATGAATCAAAATTAGAAATTGTCTTCTTTATTTCAGATACTTTCTGTTAGTTGCATTCTTTCTGTAATAAACAATTACCTCTAGCTTAATAAGAAATAGCAACAAAAAGCATTTATTCAATATACTCAAGGGTTCTTTTCTGAAATCTAAAGAATATTACCTGGGTGAGAGCCAGAGAATAACTTTGGATATTCAGGCCCCTAAAGTTCAGTATTGCATGAATTACCCTAACCCAGAAATTCTACTCATTGGACTATATCCAAAAGAACTGAAAACTGGAACTCAAATACCTGTACTCAAACATTTATAGCAGCACTATTTACAATAGTCAAAAGGTAGAAACAACCTAATGTCAATCAAAGGATGAGTATATGACCAAAATGTGGTATCCATGGAGTAGAATATTATTCAGTCTATCATGGGGCAGCCAGAACACTGCCAGGATAGTTTTCTGCTCAGGAGGGGATAAGCCACCTGAGAAAAATTAAGTCTGAAATAGTGAAGAATTAAGAGTCAAGAGCCAGAAAAAATAGTTTTTAAAGGGATGGAGCAGCTTATAAGTCCAGTCCACATAGGAGCTAGAGCTGAACAACTAGAAAATGGCTCCCTGTCCTTTATTTAAGGGAGTACATCAAAGGCAGGGATAAGGTTTCAGTGGGAGGAGTCTTGCTTCTAGGGGTACTTGCAGCAAACAGATTGTTTGGCATCTTGGCAAGCTATACCCATCTATTAGAGGCTGTGTGGCTATATGAGTCCAGCAAGTCACCCCATTTGTGGTGCTATGTAGAACCTGTGGCAGAGCTGCATAGGAACTCACATGTATTTGGATGGTCTCACCAGCAGGAGTGCCACTGGGAGTTCCCAGACACCAGATTGTCCTATTCAGTGGCTTCCATGCCAATTTGATTTATACATAGTTCACAGTTCACAGGTGGCTCCTGGCATCAGCCATAAAAGGGAATGAAGTACTGACACATGCTATAATGTAGATAAATCTTGAAAATATGCTAAGTGAAACTAAACACAAAGATTATGTTTTATTTGGCCCTGTGTCTTTGGGTATCCAAAATAGCATACATTAGCCAACTCAGGTTGCCATAACAAAATACCAGAGACTAGGTGGCTTAAACACAGGAATTTATTTTCTTATAATTCTGGAGGTTGAAGGTCTAAGATCAGAGTACCAACATGGTTGGGTTCTGGTAGGAGATCTCTTCCTGTCTTCAGAAGTCTACCTTCTCTCTGTGTCTTCACAAGGCAGAGAAAGAGCTCTAATATTGGTTCTTCCTCTTACAAGAGCACCTGTTCCATTGAATTGAGGCCCCACCCTTATGATCTCATTTAACTTTAATTAGCTACTTATTGGTCCTATCTCCAGCATAGTCACATGAGAGGGGGTTCAACATATAAATTTGAGTGGGGTCACAATCAAATTCACAAAAATAGGTAAATCTAGGGGGAAAAACATATTGATGTTGCCAGGGGATAAGGAGAGGGAGAAATTGGGAGTAACTATTTAATAGGTATTGAGTTTTAATTGGGGGATGTTGAAAATATTTGGGAATTAGGTAGAGGTGGCAGTTATAAAACATAATGAGTGTATTAAATGCTACTCACTTTGGTAAAATCATTAATTTTATTTATGTGAACTTTACCTCAATGAAAATAAAAGCACACACACACACACACATATATATATATATATATATATATATATATATATATATATATATATATATATATGCAAAGGAGTAAATCAGAAAAAGATAAAAAAAAAAAATTCAGCATTTTTCCAAAGTAAGCTCTGCCATTTATATGCCTTAGTTCCCAGTAGTCTTTCTGTCTCTAAGTTTAATTGTAAAGTTTCAAGGACATTATTATCCAAAGTACATGTATGAAGACACAAATTGGTGTCAATATAATTTGTATACAACCAGAGATATGAAAAATTGTGCTCTATATGTGTAATAAGAATTGTAATGCATTCTGCTGTCACATATAAAAAAAATTCAAAAAGAGAGATATCAGTCATACATTGCCAGAACAATTGTATATGATGATAATCTATCCCATAAATTAGGAATATATAGACATAATCACTTACTTCTAGCTCATGTGTCTGTAGGCTGTTTGGGTGGGATTAACTTAGATGCCCAGCCTGCTGCACATATTTTTCACCCTCCTTGGATGAGCACATAGAAGAACATACTATTTATGTGCTCTTCTCATAGACAAAGACCTGAAAATTCATATGCACATTTAAAGCCTTTGCTCAAATTTCATCCTCTGACATTCCATTAGAAAGTCACACAGCAAAGTCCTAATGTCAATAGGGAGAAAAAATATACTTGATCTCTAGTGAAAAGAACTGTGAAGTCACATAGTAAAGAACATAGATATAAGAACAATATAATTATTCATAGATATAATAATGTATAAATTCATAGTAAATTAGCAATAAAAATGAAATCTACCACAAGAGAGATGTGATTGGCCCTTTGTGGATTAAATAGCTATCCTTGGGCTAAGCACTTGTGGTTGGACTGGGAGCTGGTTCGTATTTCATTAACATAAAATATATTTTTCAGTTCTGTCTGTTGTAGATGGGGAACTGAGAAGGCAGTAACTGTAGCTTGATGAAGACCCTAGAAAGTACATACTGTAATCAGAAAATCAAAAAAGACTGACAGAATCGCTGTCCTGCACACAAGTTCCTTGCATATGGGCCTGGTTGCGTGTGTGTGTGTGTGTGTGTGTGTGTGTGTGTTTCCACACATACTCACACACTTGCACATTCTATTATTAGAGTAAAAGTTCTTAAGATGATGAAGGTGGGAAAAGGATTATCTGGAGTTGGCAAGGGTCTTATACATTCTACAAATTGCTGCTGTTGCTTTTCAGCTGTAGTTATTATGTTCCCAGTTTTACAAATGAGTTGTAGCTGCAGCTCAGAGGAGATGGGAATCTGAATCTTGAAGACTTTAATCTATGGAATGTCATGAAATTAAGTATCAGAAGGTTTGATTGATAACCAGGCAAACTGGACACAATTTTTTATTGGATTTTAGTCTCCAACATAATTTCATAAGGGGCCCATAGCCCAAGATTAGATTAGGTTTGGTCCCATCATCCTCTTCTACTTCCATCTGCTCTTCTGTTCTCTACTTGTGGTTTTTAAAATTAATTCTCTGAAGAGTCAGATTTTGATATTTCTAAAGCACAGTCATCTGAGGTTTGTCCACTTAAGACAGAAGAGGATGAGCTGTGGAATCAGAAAGATCTGAGGTTCGATCTTGGCTAGCCATTTACCAGCTCAATGACTTTGGTCAAGTTATTTAAGTCTCATATGTAAACTACGGATAATACTACCAGCTCTTAGGAGTGTTATAAGGAGAGGTGCTATTCTCATAGTAGTGACAGAGAGTGACTGAAAGATGCCAGCAGACCTAAGCAAAGAACACAGTTCTGGTAATGTGGATAAGTCACAGAATTTGCACTACATAGAGAGCTGCATGGGAGGCATAGCAACACTGTCAGGGGAGTTGAGGGTGAGGGGAACACAGCCTCTCTGGCCTTCAAGAACCTAGAACAGCAAACTACCAGTGATAAAACTGCCTGAACTGAGTGGGAAAACCCATCAGGTTTTTTAAGCTGCCCCCTTTGGTATTCTCAGAAGTTTGTTTGTTTGTTTGTTTATTTATTGAATAGCCCCCTGGTCCTTCATGACTGTTATGGAACTCTGATAAGTGTCTATCTGCTATGTACAAGTTTTTTTTTTTTTTTTTTTTTTTTTTTTTTTTTTCTGAACAGCCTAGCCTGTCTCAAATTATTTACTCCAAGGGTGAATTTAAGATCATTTTGTTCGTTGTGCCATACCTCTAGCAAGCTCAGTTTTTGGATTATTTGCAATCAATGATAGCAATAGATGAAGCATTTAACCAAGCTGTACAATGGACCAAGATAAGAATCATGTCTTTTTATTCATTACTACATCCAATTATCTAGCTGTATGTTTGGCCTAAGGTCAATAAGTAATAAATACTTCTGCCATAGATAAAGAATGAAGAATTGGATAAATTTGCTCAATATATGGTACTTATTATTAATTTGGAGCATAATCAGAGAACAGGCTGTAACTGTTTTATCAATTCTTTCCATTTAAGAAGTTACCAGTATTGAATATACTGGACAATATTTTGAACTCTTTGAATAGTCACCTAACAAAGCTTAAGGAGGCAGGTATTCCATTGTTTATAGATAAAGAAACTGAGACTCAGAAACAGTAAACAACTTTCTTAAGTTAATAGAAAGCAAGGAGGAGGCAGGACTCCCCTGAGTCCCAGGAGTCTCCCAAGCTTTCTGAATTTCCTTGGCACAGGGAGGTGGCACGTTCCAGAAGCTTAATATATTTTGCCAATACTTGAATTTACTGGACTTCTTCCATTTTCTTCTGGAAGTTGATCAAGGCATGAATTCAGCTACTCTTCTCAGGCTTATTTTTTCAGCTTGTGTGTATGAAGGCAGAGGAAGTGAGACTAATGATCAATAGAGTCCAAGGATACAGAGGTCCAGCAGGGCCATGAATTTAAGAGCCTATAAGACAGTGATTTGCAATTTTGACTGCACTGTAGAATCACTTGGGCAGTTTTTTACAAGTACCAATGCCCAGGACCAATTAAACCAAAGTCCATGGGGGTGGCACCCCTGCATCAGAATGCTTTAAAATTTCCCAGGTGATTCCAATATATGATCAAGTATGAGAAGCTTGCTTAACGAGAACGGTACAGTGCTAATCCTTTGGTAATGGTGTGGGAAGAGGATACAGCTGGTGGAGTAGATGGAAGA